TATCACTTAGGATAATCTCCTTCAGTTACTTCTTTGTAGCTTAACAGAACAATAGAGTAGTGACTTTGGAATGGAGATAAGAAACGCCCTAATCTTTAAAATAGAATGGATAGGATTAAAATCAAGGACAATAAAGACAGAACCTGGCTGGAGAACCTGAGTAGAGAACCTGGCTAAGCTGCTGATCAACTGAACGCTGTCTCCGTGTATTCCTTCTTCACCGACTCCGTCCACACCTTTGGGAACCCCTGGACCTGTTGGGGTTGGACCCCAGCACAGATCTTCATAGCAGACTGGGCTGGATAAAGGTGGTTGATAGGCCTTATGGAAAACGAAGATGGGCAGGGACAGGATCAGAGATAGAGCCCAGCTGCCTAAGCATATGAACTTGACCCAGTGCCGCTTCTGAGTCAGAGTGCGTGGGGCATGAACAACAGCCAGGTAGCAATCCACGCTAATGCAGGCCAGTAGTAGAATTCCACTGTAAAAGTTGACTTCCTTCAAGAGTGAGACCACCTTGCACAGGGGTGTGCCAAAGATCCAGCCCTTTGCCTTGACGGCAGCCCAGATAGGCAAGGTCAGAGCAAAGAGCAGGTCGGCCATGGCCAGGTTCAGGAGGTAGACATCAGTGACAGAGCAGGTGGCCCAGCTATATAAAATGACCAGCATCACCAGGGAGTTTCCCAGCAGGCTCAGCAGAAAGACCAGAGCATAGATGACAACCACAGCATACCTGTTGAGTGTCTGTGTCCATGAGAAGAGGCTATAATATTTTTCTGTGGGTGGTGTGCCGGTGACGTTTTCAAAGTAATCCCATTCATATTACATGAAGGAAGCCTAGATTTGATCTAATTGAAAAATTAGGAAAGAATTGTGATTTATAACTCAGATTCAAGTCACTTTCATCAAGAATGTGAGAACAGCCCTAGCTGGTTTGGCTCTGTGGATAGAGCATTGGCCTGCAGACTGAAGGGTCTCAGGTTCCATTCTGGTCAAGGGCATATGCCTGGGTTGCGGGCTCGATCCCCAGTGGAGGGCGTGCAGGAAGCAGCTGATTGAAGTTTTGCTCTTACATCCATATTTCGCTCTCTCCCTCTCCTTTCCATTCTGCTGATTGAACTTACATCCATATTTCGCTCTCTCCCTCTCCTTTCCATTCTCTCGAAAGAAAGAAAGAAAGAAAGAAAGAAAGAAAGAAAGAAAGAAAGAAAGAAAGAAAGGAAGAAAGTTAGTTATCTGAGTTTTCCGCTCTATGGATGACAATGCTTATTCTCTTCCTTTTCTAATATTTATTTCCACTTGTTTATTCCTTACATTCCCTAGCAGACTGCCTTTAAAAGCTTCCAACTTGCCTGACACACAAAAAGGGGAAAGGATTTGACTTTTTACAGATTTCAGGAGTCCACCGGAGGAAGGCTCACAGGAGTCTTCCACTTAGGAGGAATTTGGGAGTAATCTGAAGGACTGTGTACTTAAGCTGTGTTTGCAGAAAAAGCACACAATTTTTACTTATATTGTAAGCTCCTTTGGGGTGGCCTGGGGGCTGGTGGAGATGTTGATGGAGATATGGAGGGAAAATTGAACCCCCTCCATACCAGCCACCAGCACTTCTTTAGCACAACCACTACCAACAATTGGTTCATTAGAATGGCCCTGGGGCTGGGGGCATAGGCCACCTGGGGTCTGGCTGGACAACAGGGGGATCATTGGGGCAACTAGTGAATGGAGGAGGTGGGGTTCATGTCATTTTGCTCCTCTCTCTGTTCTGACGGATGGCTTCGCTGGGAACCTGCCTCAGTTTCCCCAGCAGCTAATGTCGTCCCCTGGCTTTACACCTCTTTAATGAAAGGGCGAGGACTATGCCCTCCATCTTACCCTGGGTCCTCCATTTTTGGGCAAAGCCATGTGCTCAGCAAGACTTCTTCCCGGAAGTCCAAGCCTCTGCTATCCACACCCAGGATTTCTCTAAACTAACCAATGACAATCAAGGGAAGTGCACGCCATAGAGATGACCACATCCTGTGTAACGAGGCACCAACTTGCGCCTGGCCAATCGGCAGGGCCCACAGTCCCCTCTCCTCCCCTTACTCCACCGCCCTATAAAACTCCTCTTCACATCGGGCTAGCTCTCTCTCTCTGCCACCTGCTGCTGTGTCAGTAAGGAGAAGAGGGGAGCCAGACCTGGGTTTGAATAAAAGACTCTTTGCTTTTGCATCGGACACGGCTGGCTCCCTGGTGGTCTTTTGGGAATCCTGAAATCTGGGCATAACATAATCACTGTACTTTAATCACTTCTCCATTATCACATGAACCCTACTGTACTGCAATGCTGTGTTTACCACTTTACCAGTCAGCCCTCCCCACTAGACCAGGGACCCTCTCTGAGTCATCTTTGGATCCTCCGCCAGGGAACAAGTGCAATGACACTAGACATATCTCCTATGATTTATGGATCATGGATCATCACTAGGATTCAGACTGTCTGTTACTGCTGGCACATGGTCATGCCTAAGGTGTGCCTGAAAGCTTCACTTGCGCACAGCCAGGCTGGTCTGTCTGGCATTGTTCTTTCCCAACCATCCTCTATTGTTTAAAGTCAGTGTCCATCTGTTCGAGTGCAAATTATGCACCTACCCATAAATGCCAAATTTATCATGCCACTGGTGCCTACCATTCTGCCCCGAGCAAGCATTTTTTTTAAGGCTAAGTCATGCTCTCCACCTGGTTCTCTTATCATGTATAACTAGTAGCAGGAAGTGTAGGAGACCATTGCCTAGGGCTACCCATGCTTTGCTTTTACTGCCCTGAGACTATTATGATCTAATGCCTAGACTAAAAAGGACTTGAGGATGGGAAAGTCCCTGAAGGGAGTGGACATTCCCCCTATTAAGCATCTAGAGCAGTGGTTCTCAACCTTCCTAATGCCGCGACCCTTTAATACAGTTCCTTATGTTGTGGTGACACCCAATTTCATTGTTACAAATTGAACATAATTAAAGTATAGTGATTAATCACAAAAACAATATGTAATTATATATGTGTTTTCCGATGGTCTTAGGCGACCCCTGTGAAAGGGTTGTTCGACCCCCAAAGGGGTCGCGACCCACAGGTTGAGAACCACTGATCTAGAGAAAAGGTAGCTCATGAAGCAGAAAATAGTGACTGGATACAGAAAAAAGAGACTGGGGCCTGGACTACAAAATGCCTGCAGGTCAAGCTGCAGCTACAGTAAAAGAGAGTGTTTGCCACCAGAGGGCAGCAAGGGACCCACTGAGAAAGACCAAAACAAGCAGCCATATCTTTTTTTGAGCATCCATATCTTAATATCTATTTTAAGCCCCTTGTGTTTAATTTCTTTCTGCTTTTCCTAAGCCCTCAGTCAAGCCGTTTCAACATTCCAGTCTATTTAAACTAATGTCTGAGAATTAGAAAAGAGTCTGGTCCACCCTCACGCTTGGAGGAGCAGCAGTGGTAGCTTAGGTCTCCAGTGGGAACATGATCTGGGGGTCAAGAGTCAAAAAGAATCTTTGCCTTCATGGCAAGAAAGAGCATTTTATTGAGGAGGGGGAAGGGCACATGTACATGGGCATGAGATAATGTTTTACCCACTTGAAAATGTTCCAGCAAGTCTACCCACCCAACTATCTTCCAACCTCACTTCCCACTTCTAACCGCTCCATCACAAACGGATCTGTAATGTTCCTAATGGGAAAGCATTTTTCCTTTCTGTGCATAGCATCCAATGCCACAAAGACACATGGAGGTCATGTGTCGAGATATGTGAAGCCTGAATGCCACCCTGATGGCAAAATGCGGGGACCTCTTCTTGTCACCCTGCTTTTTAAATGGCAGCTTCTATATGCAAGACCACGGGAACAGCACAGTATGGCTGTGAGTATATCGATGTTGCCACGTGTCAGCTTTGATGTCCGCATCGGGCATTTCTTCACATTCCTGCAGAAGAATCCACTTAAACCTGGGGACCAAAGTGGAGGCAAAGGAGGAGGAGGAGAGGATTCACCCCCCTCCCCGGGGATTACCCCCATTGCCAAATGACAGGTCCAAGGACAATCATGTAGCCTACGATGATCCACTCAGAGCCAAGTTCAGGTTGGTTGTTTAACAACAGTGGAAAAAACAAGTGTGTAGTCTTGTTGCTGCTGGACATCATTTTGCTACCATAAATGGCAAACCAGTCCAAGGACAAAAACTAACATACGGAGGAAGGCAGAGCTCAGAGAACCAGCGAAACAGGAGCCAGAGTCCTGGACAAACCATGCACAGAGGTCATCTTCTCTCTGTACTTTTCAGTTACATGAGGCAATAAATTCTCTTTATTGTTAAGACCCATTCAAGTAAAGCTTTCTGTTACCCACAACCAAAACTGTGCCCAACTGAGAGAGTTCTAGAAACAAAAGGTGATCTGGAATGAGAGGAGAGAAGAGGAATGTCAGTGAATCACAGGGTCTTGGTTGTGACTGTCAGGATAATGGCAGGACTTAACAGAGATATGACCTCCTAGGTGCAGACCTCCTGCCCCCAATTGCCAAGTTCTGGTGGAAGCCAGAGAAGAACTTTGAAAGTTGAGTACTTGAGAACCCATCTCAGGGCACTCTCCTGTGTGAATTCAGAAATGCACATGAAGGATCCAGAAATCCCTGCTTTGAAGTCAGAACGTAATTCAAACACTGCCTCCCCCCCCGCCCCCACTTTATTAGTTTGTGATCTTGGACAAGTTTGTTAACATGTATCAAAGTATTCTTATCCATAGACATGGGGATAATAAAACTTGTCTCATGGTGCTATTGTGATGATGAATGAGATAAGAGTACAGGATCTAGAGCAGCGGTTCTCAACCTGTGGGTCTCGACCCCTTTGGGGGTCGAACGACCCTTTCACAGGGGTCACCTACCATCGGAAAACACATATATAATTACATATTGTTTTTGTGATTAATCACTATACTTTAATTATGTTCAGTTTGTAACAATGAAATTGGGGGTCACCACAACATGAGGAACTGGATTAAAGGGTGGCGGCATTAGGAAGGTTGAGAACCACTGATCTAGAGCCAAACCACCCACTTCCATGCAAATCCCAGCTCTGTCCCATGGCCTGTATGTCCACGGGAAGAGTAGATACTTGCCTTGGGCCTCAATTTTCTCATCTGTAAAATGAGAATGAAAGTAGCACCTAGCTTATAGGATTGATATGAAGATCAATGAGTTAATACATGTAAAGTGCTTAGCACAGCATCTCACTGATAATAAATGTTTAATCACTTTTATCTGTCTTTATACAAAATTCTTATGGTCCTATTGGGGAAATAGATACCAAACGCACTAAACAATACAGACCCTGACCCTGCAATCCCACCTAATATAAGAGAAGGAAGGAAGTAGGAGGGAAGGAAGAGTGGAAGGACAAGTTTATCACAGGATTGTTCATAATAAAATTGGATAATAATTTCAATGTCTTTCAAAATACTTTTATACAAAGTATAGTAGAGCTATAAAGTGGAACACTATGCTTCTATTTTGATCACTGTATCTCAAGTGCCTAGGAGGCATCTTAGTAATTATGGTTCAATAAAAAGTTTTTGAAGAAAGAAAAGCAAAGGGAAGAGAGATGGATTATATTTCTAGAGACTGGAAGACCCACAGGGACTTGCCTTCTGTTTATTTCACCTTCAGCCTCTGGGAAATAACGCTGGAGGGAAAGCTGACTCCACCATGGCCCTAAAGAAATGACTTAGCAGAACATA